CCGCAGGACTTCAACGCCGACATCTTCGACGCTTAGCTAGGCGTCTCATGTCCAGACGGCCATGGGTGCTGGTGCCGCGTGAAGCCAGGCCAAAGCATCCCCCACCGGGCCAATTTCGGTCCGCCTCAGCTCCTCCACCCCTACTTTCGCCTGCCCAATTCGCCCAGGTAGCCAAAGCGGTGCAGCGTTCTCTGTCCAGCACTCCATCAGCCTCAGATCCCCCGCGGCCGCCTGGTGATTTCAGCGGCCCCCCCATGGGTCGAGGCAGGCGCATCTACGGGGCCACTTTTCATCCTCCGCCACCTCCGCCCGCCTTGCCTCCCTCGCCGCCCCCAGACCATCCCAGGGTGCCCGCCAAAGCAGCCATTCCGGAAGGCTGGATAGGCCAGGCTGCTTCTCCTTTTTCTCCACCCCTTTCAGTGTGCACCTCGCCTCCACCCCCGCGCGAGCCTCGCAAACAGTCTCGTAAAGCTGCGCCACACAGGCGCCAGCCGAGCAGGGCTTCTAGTCCCCCAGCATCGCCTAGAAGGCTGGATCAGGTGGGCGACGCCTCATATTCCTCTGCCTCCTCACCATTTCCTCCGCATGACTCTCCAGAGCCGGCGGAACAGTCCGCTGCTCCCCGCGCCTCTGCAACCCGCAAGCGCAAGCAGGTCTCATTTGCGGACGAGTTCACGGCCAAAGCCCCTTGGGTGGCCTATAATTCGCGCTTACGCACCGAGCCGCGCAAAAGCGCGCTCAAGCAGCCGGCGCCGCAACGCAGAGAACCTGCGGAGGCGCAAAGCAGCCCGCAGGAGTCCCTCGGCCCGCCATCACCTCCAGCCTCTCCTCCCCCTAGGCACCATAAGGCTCGCAAGGCCAAGGCTCGCCGCGCGGCCCATGCAGCTCAGCGCTCACACTCGCCTGCCAAAGCGTCTGATGCAGCCTCGGACGAGCGGCGCAGTACAGTTCTCAAGGCGCACGAGAATAGAATTGCCCAGCTCAAAGAGGAGCATAGGCAGGACCAGCTCCGTATCGACAGGATACACAGGGAGCGCCTTAAGCTTCAGTTGCGAGAAGGCGAAAGCCTTTCGCATTGCGGTCAGCGTCTTTCGCCCAGGAGGCCGCGCAAACCTCATGAAGGAGGTGATGCTGCCAGGCGCTAGACCTTTGCCAGGCAGCTAGCCCTCAGCCTAAGCCTAACCTCTCCCTCTTTCCTCTTATCAGCTCCCTTTCTCCGCCTCATCCCCATCAGGCCATGAGGAGCGAGCCCAGTATCCTGGGCAACGCCGACGCAGACGAGGACATGCCCGCTGCTGAGGCGTACCCGGGACGACACTTAGATCTGCGCAGCATCTCGCCACCAGCCTCTCGTTTGGCTTCCTTATGGAAGCATTTGGCTGAGCGGCTTCTTTTGGCTCACCAGCAAGTCTACCGCTTTCTCAGCGGCGGCGCGAGGCGCCACGCACTCATTCTGTCTCCTACCACGGTGTACCAGCATACTGCGGTACCCCAGTGGCAAGCCACATGGCAGCTCGAGAGCGGGCCGCCCGCATGGCCACACGCGCGCGCTAACGTAGGCCCTGTGCTTCACCTAGATTTGCCCACGGCCGTTAATCGCACGCTCGAGCGCTGGCATGGGCGCTGGCGCGAGGCCAACTCCCCTAACCTACTCCACATTTACCCTCAATGTGCAGCGGGGGACGGCCCCTATGCTGCCCGTTTCTCACCCACCATAGGGCTAGTTACTGTTTACGTGCCTGATCAGCTTTTTCTGGACCTACTCCAATCGGGGGCCTGGGAGCAGTCCTCCCTCATCCCACATCGTCTTCTGCAGGATGCAGCGGCTGGCAGCCCCATCCTAATAGACTTCCAGGCCATGATCCTGGTTCGGCCATTCTGCCTCCCGTTGTCCTACCTCTCTCGAATCCTCCGTCTCCCCGAACCCTAATCCCTCAGGCCATGCCGACCCCAGATGCGCAGCACCTGCCGCAGTTCGAGCACGGCGACTTCCGCTGCGCCCCCACTGAGGCAGTGCCACCACCGCCTACAGTCGTGCAGTGGCTGGTAGTGATAACGACAGGCCACATTTCGCTTTGGTCCCCATTGCCCATCAATGTAGGGCTCCTAATGGAGCAATTCCATGGGCAGGAGACCAGGCTGCCATCCTCTGCGGAAAGGCCGCGCTTTTTTCACCTCCCTATTTTACAGGAGATTGATGCACGGCCCATCCTATTTGGCACGGGCATACCCTACCGCACCGGCCTTTCGCTGCGGGTCAACATGCGTAGCGGTAACATCCTCATCCCTATAGACTCCGCACCAGGCCAAGCATGCATCAGTCGGACCGTCAGGAGGGTCCTCCTCACACAGATGCAAGCATAAGCCAGCTAGGTTTCATTCATATTTGGCCGTTGGCTTATGGGCTATTTCTTTTTGTTCCCTCTGCACTCCCCCCTTTTCTCAGCGCGCCCCACGCCGCCATGGTGCCCATGCCTCCTGCGGGCGGTTCCGCCGCGGCTGCGTCGGATGCGGGCGCGGCCGAGGCCAGCAGGGCGTCGCCCAACACGCGGGAGCTCTTCGGCCTCTCAGGAGACACGTATGCTGGTTCGGCATGGCAGGGCTCCCAATGCACGGCCGCCACACGGGAGTTCAAAAAGTGGTGGCCTTCCACATACCCTGGCGAGTGGAAGATGCCCAACGGCATGCTCTACCCGTTCGTGTGGAAGCTCAAGTCGCTGGACGTCATCGACGGCCAGGTCGTCGAAACCTGGGGCTGGGAGTGGATCGAGACCCCAGGCCTGGCGACCATCTCTGAGGTGGAGGCCATGCTGCGGGACCACTACAACCAGCAGCAGGCTGCCGCGCAAGAGGCCCAGGCGCGAGCGGCGGCGACAGCGGCAGGTCTCTCGGCGCTCTCGGCTGCCGCCCGCGCGGCATCCGAAAGGGCCCCGGCGCATCCGACGCTCAACCCGTCGCCCTTCGGTGCCTGAGCGAGCCGCAGAGCGTGCTGCATCCCAGTCAGCGCCCTGCTAGGTCGTCCTAGGCGACCTCGGCGCAACTAGCAGCGCGCCCTCGTAGGTGGTGGGCTCGCCTAATACTCTCCTTTTGTCCATCTACCCTATTCTGGTTTCTCTTTACCTCGGCAGCCCACCACCTAAACAGCTGGAGCCATGCCGCTCCAATTCAAGGTCGGTCGAGCCGTCCTGCATAGCTGCGTAGTAGGCCACGCAAGTCTAGCAGCATCCAGCCTATCCCGACATAGTGCGGCTCAGCATCTTTGAGCAGCCCCGCTAACAGTGAGGCGGCTAAACGCCGCTCGCATATCTCAATTCGCAGACTCGCCACGGCTGAGTCTTCACGCATAGGTGGTGGGCTAGCACACTTCTTGGATCCTGGTTTATCGGCAGCCCACCACCTATGCAGCCCAAGCCACCACATGAGCCAAATTCTAACAAAGGAGGCGCCGCGTCTCCAATTTAAGGTCGGCCGAGCCGACATGCAGTCCGCCGCAGTGGGTCCTTCAAGTACACATTCTCACTGCAACTCTTTCGGCGCCCGTAAGGCCTTTAACTGTGCGGCCATCCAGTCGGCACCATCTCAGGTCAACATGGGATGGGCGCCCATGGTGCAACCGTCAATGCGCCACACAGGGGCGGGGCCAGCCTAATACATACCTCGGCAGCCCACCTAGTCACTCTTTTTTCTACCGGCCCCCCTTGGAGGGCCTGTGCAAGGGTCGTTGCCAGTCAGGGGCTCGACTTTTCACCTTGCCGCATGAGTGCGGCCAGCGCGGCACTTTTTAGCAGCCTCGCTAAACAGCGATCGGCTTAAGCTCACGCAGCAATTCGCAGACTCGCCACGGCTGAGTCTCCTAGGTGGTGAGCTGGCCTAATACTCTTGGTTCACCTTGGCAGCTCACTACCTAGACAGTCCTAGCCAGACTGCCACGGCCAAACCTAAGCTGTGGCAAGCAAGGACGATGCTACAGCACATCCCCGCCGAGTAACTCTCGGCTAAGGCGGCCAGCGAAGGTGCCATATATGCAGACAGGCACCATGCCCTAGTGCGTCTTGGCTGTGCGGCTGAGTCAAGGCCGCGGCAAGCATATGTGCCTCGTGGGAGGACCGCGGCACTGTGCCTTGGCTTGTCTCTCTGGCCCTCATCCAGGTGTAGCAGGGTCCCCTTGGTCCCTGTGTGCCTGTGAGGGGCCACACGGAGGTGGGTCTCTGTTGTCTGGTTTCGGCTAGCGCCCAGGCACACCCACCTCCCCGTCGCGGACGGCCCGTACAGGCCTTTCAGCTGCAGCAGCCGCCCTGCAGCACGGCAATGCCTTTCTGGCCCTCCTTCCTCCCCCCGCCTCTTATGGGATCCCCCGCCCTTCCTCCAGTCCAGCTCTCCTCCCCTGGAGGTTTGGACAGCCGCACGGCGGCCTGGCCAATTTGGCCCTCCTTCCAGCTCTTCCCTCTCCTTCAGCCGACCGAAACTTGGACGGCACACCTAGGCAGGTCTCTCCTTTTCCAGCCTTGCGCTGCTCTCTGCCTCGAGGGCTGCCCTGCTATGGGCAACGAAGCAGGGCCCCGCTGATGTCTCTCTTCGCACGGCGCTGCAAACTCCTCCTCTCTCTTCTACGATTCCTCTCTTCCCCTACTGCAGCGCCAATACCTCTCTCCCGACAGTTTTCGGGACGAGAGCGGAAGCAGCTCAGCGTCCATGCTCTCGGGCTTCTCGTGTGCAGCCTGTGCCAGTCCTGTTGGCCGCTGCGCTCAAGCTACTTGCAACGAGCTAAGTGCAGTCAAAAAAAGCCCTCCTCGCTCCCTCCTCCCTGACCTCCCTCGTCACTCCTCTTCCTCCTCCCCGACCTCCTTCTCGCTACTCGCTCCCTCCTCGCTCCCTCCTCGCTCCCTCCTCGCTCCCTCCTCGCTCCCTCCTCCCTGACCTCCTCCTCCTCGCTGGGCCTGGGCCCCGACCTCTCCGGTGGGGCCTGTGCCCCGGGACCTGCACGGCGGCCGCGCGCACAGGACCAGATACGGAAGGTCCTGTGCGACCCGGACCCGCGCGGGCGCGGGCGCGGGCTGCCGCCGCCGAGCGTCCTAAGGGGGGAGGAGGAGGAGGAGGAGGAGGAGGAGGAGGAGGAGGAGGAGAGGAGAGGAGGAGGAGGAGGAGGAGGAGGAGGAGGAGGAGGAGGAGGAGGAGGAGGGAGGGGGAGGGGGAGGAGGAGGAGGAGGAGGAGGACGAGGGGGAGGAGGAAGAGGAGGAGGAGGAGCAGGAGGAGGGGGAGGAGGGGGAGGGGCAAGGAGAGGAGGGGAGGGGGAAAAAGCGGATGATGGGGAGGAGGGGGAGGGGCAAGGAGAGGAGGGGAGGGGGAAAAAGCGGATGATGATGATGATGGCGATGGCGATGGTGATGGAGATGGTGGTGGTGGTGGTGGTGATGATGATGACGATGATGATGCTGCTGATGATGATGGTGATGATGGTAGCGGTGATGGTGATGGTGATGATGATGGTGATGATGATGGTTTCAGTGATGGTGATGGTGATGGACATGGTTATGATGATGGTGACGATGATGCTGAGGACGATTACAGTGATGGTGATGGTGATGCTGGTGGTGGTGGTGAGGATGATGTTGATGATGGTGATGACGATGACGACGATGATGATTCGGTTGATGGTGATGATGATGCTGCCGATGATGACCCATGAATTAATGGATGAATGAATGATGATGTTGATGATGCTGCTGATGTGATGATGATGATGATGATGATGATGATGAGGATGATGATGATGATGACGGTGACGATGGTGATGATGATGATGATGATGGTGATGATGCTGATGATGATGATGATGACGCTGATACTGCGGATGCTGATACTGATGATGATGCTGATGATGTTGACGCTGATGCTGATGCTGATGATGGTGATGATGATGCTGATGATGACGCTGATAACCATGCTGCCGACGGCGATGATGATGCTTAGATCATAATCATGATGATGGGCATGATGGTGATGACGACGATGATGCTGCTGATGATAATGATGACGATGATTATGGTGATGGCGATGCTGATGATGCTTTTGATGATGATACTGATATTGATGATGATGGTGATGATAATGACGGCGATGATGATGATGATGATGATGATGCTTTCGATGGTGATGGTGATGCTGATGCTGAGGCTGATGATGATGCTGATGATGATGATGCTGATGCTGATGCTGCTGCTGCTGATGCAGATTTTGATGATGATGATGATGCTGATGCTGATGATCATTATGATAATGATGATGATGATGATGATGATGATGATGATGATGACGATACTACTTATTTCGATGATGATGATGCTGATGATGATGATGATGATGATGATTGTGATTATGATTATGATTATGATTCTGATTCTGATGATGACGATGATGATGATGATGATGATGATGATGATGATGATGATGATGATGATGATGGTGGTGGTGGTGGTGGTGGTGGTGGTGGTGGTGATGATGATGATGATGATGATGATGATGATGATGATGATGCTGATGATACTGATGATGAGGATGATTATGATGCTGATGATAAGGATGATGAGGAGGATTATAGTGGTGATGGTGGTGATGGTGGTGATGTTGGTGATGGTGATGGTGCTGGTGATGGTGACAAGGAGAAGAAGGAGAAGGGGAAGGAGGAGGAAGAGTACGAGGAGGAGACGAGGGGGGAGGAGGTGTAGATGGAGGCGGAGGCGGAGGAGGGGGAGGCGGAGGCGGAGGAGGCGGACCAGGCGAGACCGAAGTGGCCCCGGCAAACAGAGCCCCTCGTGTCCCCGCCTCGCTCCAAGACGCGGGCAGGCGGCCAGAGGGGCTCCTCGAGGGTGATGCGGTCTTCGCAGAAGGGGTCGGTTCGGGAGGAGGAGGAGGAGGAGGAGGAGGAGGAGGAGGAGGAGGAGGAGGAGGAGGAGGAGGAGGAGGAGGAGGCCCGGCGGAGCAGAGCGCCCTCCGAGTTTTATAGATTTGGTGTTCTTGGGGGCATCTCGAATGTATTCGGGGGTTCTCGTAGGTCTCCGGAGGTCTCTGGATGTTTGGGCTGCAGAGGTTTCCGGTGGGTTTGGGGAATGTTTTTGAATGGGATTTGTGAGATCTCAGGGTGTGTTGAAGGGTTGTTAGGGGTTCTGGGGGGTTTTCAGCAGTAGGAGGAAGGGGCGGAGGGTATGGAGGATTCGGAGGATCAGGGTGGGCAGTTGGACCACGAGGAGCGAGTGGAGCATTGCGGGGGGGCAGGAGGCAGGCCCTCATCGCCTCCGTCTGCCCATGCTCCTCGCTTGCCGCTCCTCGTCTGCCACCTGTTCCCCGCCCTCCGCCTGTTGCCGTCTCTCTCCCTTCGCCGGGAGCTCTCTGCGCCGTCTTCCCCGCGCACTCCCCTCGTCAGAGTTTGCCATCGCGCCTTCCCGGATCTCCGACACGCTTTTTTCGATCCGGGTGCCTTTCCCAGATTTTTCGGCCTCGGGGGCCTGCTTTCGGGCCCCGGGGCCATCCCACATGGATCTCCCAGGGAAGGCGTCGGGACCGCAGGGGCCGCGGATTGAAGACATCAGTTCTCCGCATGGAAGGGTTCGAATGTTTTCGTCTTCTTCTTCCTCCCGGATTACTCTCTTCCCGGGGCTTCTGCTGTCAGGGACGTCCTCCCCTTGAGTCGCCCCATCATTCGCAGTGCACGCCTGCTTCGTTGCGGACTTCCCCAGGACCCGTCTGTGATGGGCGCCTCCTTGCACGTCCTCTATGAGGCCTTCTTTGTCTGCTTATGGGGGGAGCGGGATGAAGGAAAGGAGCAGGAGGAGGACGGGGCTGGGGATGGAGAGATGTCATCCGAGCCGAGGTCGGGTCTTGCGTCGCTTCGTGCTGCCCTGCCGCGTGCGTTCGCGCCCGTGTGCCTGTCCGCTTTCCACGCGCGCGCACGCTCCCCCGTGCGGCCGCGCCTGCGCCGGCGGGCTCGCTGGCGTGCTCACGGGTCTGCTTGTCTCAGGAGGGGAAGAAACACACAGACACAATTAATCGCCGATTCCCCAGAAAATGCAGGAAAATATGGGCAGTGGGGGGGAAGACAGAAACCCAGAACATATGGGAAAGTATTGGGAATCCTGTTATTTGCGTGTATGTATTTGTGTGTCCCAGGGCCCCTTCATTGTCTTGCCGCGCTTGCTGCACATTCCCTGTCGGGGCGCCGCCGTGTGGAGGCATGCGTGCGCAGGCGCAGCGGGCGCGTGGAGAGGCCTCCTGGGCGGCCCGACGGGCGGAGGCGCGCTGGCGCAGGCGGTGGCGTGCGGAGGGGAGAGTTTTTTCAGGGGGGGAAAAGAGACAGGCACAATGGATCGTGGACTCCCTCGAAAATAGGGGAAAATCTGGGAAGTGTGGGGGGGGGAAGACGAGAAACCAGGAGATGTGGGAAAACACGGGGAGTCCTGTTATTTGTGTGTGCATGTGTGTGTGTGTATTTGTGTGTGTGTGTGTGTGTGTGTGTGTGTGTCCCAGGGCCCCTTCAGTGTTGCTCGGCACTGGCCCCATCGGCGGTCCTCTGCCGCCGCGCGAAGCGATGCGGCGTCGTGCAGTGCTGCTGCTGCTTCTGTCTTGAGGAAGGGGAGGGCGGGCGGACCGCCGGGGAGGCTCGCCCGAGTGAGGACGATTCTCTTCGTGACGCAGGTCGTAGGGATTGTACTGGCAGTGCCGTGGTGCCGCCATTGGGCGACGGCATGCGAGTGACTGATCGGACAGCATGATCACATATCGATGGGTGAACGCACGTCCAGTGTGGGCATCAGGCTACCTATAGACGAGCCCGTTTTGTTCAAAACAGGCTCTGAGCGGTCATGATTCAGGAGGGAAGTAACACACAGGCACAGTTAACCGGCGACTCCCAGGAAAAGATAGGAAAGTATGGGAAGTGGGGGGGAAGGCGAAAACCCAGAGGATATGGCGAAGTATGGGGAATCCTGGGACTCGTGTGTATCTGTTTGTGTGTCCCTGGGCCCCTTTCAGATAAGACTGCTGCTGTGCAGACCCTGCCGCCCTGGCTGCCCGGGATCTGCCTGCCGCGGCTGCTCCCGGCTGCTCTGGGAGTATTCAGGAGGGTAAAAAAGACAGACACAGTTAATCGTCGACTCCCAGGAAAATACGGGAAAATATGGGAAGTGTGGGGGAAGACAAAAACCCAGAAAATACACGAAAACATAGGGAATCCTGTCATCTGTGTGTACTTATTTGTGTGTCCCAGGGCCCCTTCAAGTATGCTCGGCTGCACCTGGTTGTCGTGGTTTCGCTTCGTTCGGCAGTTCCTCGCTGCTCCTCTGGCTTCACCCCAACATGCTAGTATTAAGTGGGGCATGCCCTCCACAAGAGGAGCATTCAAAGATAGTCAAAAAATAGTCTGGGGACGATTGTTTGAATATGTGACATATGTGTTTGGCTATTTTTGGGTATTTCTGTGCATTTTTTAGTTGTTCTTCCACAATCCGCCTGTAGGGGGACATGTCCGACCTAATACTAGTCCTGTGTGTGCGTCGCCCCCCCCACAAGGGCGACGCGCGCACCGAGAAATCTTATAGTATATGCGTCGTGTCGGGCGCTTTCTGGCCACACCGCTCGGAAAACGATATACTGCAAGATGGATACACTAGATGTTCGGGTCGGACGCGCACCTCCAAGGAGAACATATAGTACTAGTATGTCTTTGTGCGTCCCACTTCTGGCTGTTGTAAGATGTCCGGGGGGCAGGAGTTTGACCATTCATGCTCGCATCCGCCATTCCGCTCAGTTTTGTGGATCTTCTTAGGGATGGGTCTGCGAATGTGAGTTTTTGAGCAGACTGTGCGCTCTCAGCTTGAGCAGGCACTCTTGCTCCTCTTTTTTCGGGGCTCGAGAGACGTGGGTCGATGCAAACGGGGGTCAGTCAGAGCGCCAGATCTTGCAGGATCCTGCAGAGTCGGGGTCGCATTGGCCCAGATTTTGGCGCAGGATCCCGCAGGATCCAGCAGGATCTTGCGGGATCCTGCAGAGCCTGACTGACCCGGGTCTGGATTGACCTGGGTCAGCAGATTCCCGACCTTTCCTCCTTCTTCCTCCTCCTGGGGCGGAGTGCCCCGTTCTCTCGGCCGCCCTCGGCCCGCGCGCTTCCCGCGTCGTCCCGCCGAGACCATCAAGGCGAACTCCTCGAGCTTCAAGGAGCCTCCGTGTTGCGGGGGGGGGGCGACGTTTCCAGGCCTCGAGTGGAGGAGTGCAAGGGAGGGAGGAGGATGCGACGGAGGAGGAGGAGGAGGAGGAGGAGGAGGAGGAGGAGGAGGAGGAGGAGGAGGAGGAGGAGGAGGAGGAGGAGGAGGAGGAGGAGGAGGAGGAGGAGGAGGAGGAGGAGGAGGAGGAGGAGGAGGAGGAGGAGGAGGAGGAGGAGGAGGAGGAGGAGGAGGAGGGAGGAGGAGGAGGAGGAGGAGGAGGAGGAGGAGGAGGAGGAGGAGGAGGAGGAGGAGGAGGAGGAGGAGGAGGAGGAGGAGGAGGAGGAGGGAGGAGGAGGAGGAGGAGGAGGAGGAGGAGGAGGAGGAGGAGGGGGGGCAGTGCTCTCAGGACTACTGTGACAGCTTATAACAAGCCTGCCCTGCCTGGGCAGCTGCCTGCGCAGCCAGTGGTGATACTGTTGTCGCGCACACGCCACGCCACAGGAGCCAGGGTCAGGGCAGAGGAAAGGGGCGGGTTGGGCGGGTTGGTGTGGACGGTGGGATGGGTGGGTTGGAAGGGAACTTAACCTTCATAAGACCTATGCCGATTGTGCTGGCCCTTCAGCGTATGGCGAGCAGTTGGCCTCAGTCAACATGCGTCGGCTTCGTAGTGAGCCTTCCCAGAACCCCAGAACAGCGGTGATACGAGTCCAAGTCGGATATGTGTCTTACTTTTTAATGTGGCGGATTCCCTTGTTTTGGGTCTTGAGTTTTGAGTTTCGAGATGAAAGGAAGAAGGAAGGCGCCGGTGACCTCCGCCACGACTACCACGACCACCTCCACGACCACCACCAGCACGCCCACCACTGGCACGACCACCGTCGGCACGACCACCACCACTGTGACCACTACAGTCGACCCGCATAGTAAGGATGGGCAACCTTCCCACGGGTACCCCTGCATCCTAGCCTCCTCGGCCCATCCTTGACCACTTTCGCTGGCCGCGCCCCGCTCGCAAAGGGTCCACATGGCCTTCCAAGGCCCTTGAATCCTTATCGTGCGTCCTTGTCGTACGGGTTGACTGTACCACGACCACAATCGCGACCACCAGCGCTGCCACCACAACCGCCCCGCTACACGCCCCTCCTTCCTCGCCTTCCACGTCTCTGACGGGCCGCCTCTGCCGCAGCGCTTGCCTCGCGCCTGCCCCCCTGCCCCCCTCCTCCTCCTCCACCCTCTCCTCCTCCTCCTCCTCCTCCTCCTCCTCCTCCTCCTCCTCCTACTACTCCTCCCCAGGAGGCTCCCGGAGACCTCCGCGGATGTGGGGGCGGGATCGCGGCGGGCGTTTCTGCCTCGCCTCTGGTTTCCCGGGGCCTTCGCGGATTGGCCCAGCCTGACGGATGCTGCCAGGGTGCAGCGCCTTGCCCTGAGATCCGTCGTAGCCCAAACAATGGAACATCGTGACACATAACTCAGGAGGGAAAAAAACACACAGACACAATTAATCGGCGAACCCCAGGAAAATATGGGAAAATATGGGAAGTGGAGGGGAAGACAAAAACCCAGAAAATATGGGAAAATATGGGGCATGTTTTTATTTGTGTGTATTTATTTGTGTGTTTGTGGGCCTCTTCAATAACGACCAGAGCCCCAGACCCCATCTTTCTGCGCCAGCTTTTCGAACCGGGGCCCGAAGCCCAGCGAAAACTCCTGGCTCGAAACAACTGAGACTCCAGGATCTTAGGGCTTGGGGCGGGTCATGTGCCACCCCAGATTTCAGAATGCCCGGGCACCAGGGCGTCAGGGTGGCTGTCGGGGCTCGAAGGCGTCCTCGCCTGCCTCGGTAACGACCTGCAGTGCAGCCGCTCGCGTCACGGCGTTCACCCGCGCCGCCTGCCCGGCCCGCAGCAGCTGAGAGCTGGGCGTCGGCTTCTCCTGACAACGGGCGCTTCTGCCCGGCTTCGGGCCCTGGCACCATCACAGGTCGATCCGGCAGCAAAAAAAATGCAGCAGAAAGATCGGGTCCAGGCTCGGGTCCGTGATTTCTCGGGATGCTGCGCTTCCTTTCGCAGCGTCGGACCTCAGGGGATGCCGCCACGTTTCGCCAGGCTGGAACATATCCCTATCCCTATGATTGGCGTCGCCTCATCTCGATGCCGATCTTAGGGATTCCCTCCGTTTCTGAGGGCGCATCCCTAAGATTGTCGTCGGCTTTTGGCTCGTTAATCTTAGGGATAGGGATACGTTCGAGGCTGGTTAAAAAATGCAGAAGAAAGATCGGGCCCAGGCTCGGGGTCGTGATTTTCCGGGATGGCTGCGCTTCCTTTCGCGGCGTCGGACCTCGGGGGATGCCGCCGCGTTTCGCAGCGGCCGCGGGAGGGGACAGGTCGAGCGCTCCCGTCGCGGCTTCTTGTCACCGAGCGCGCGTTCCACTACTCTTAAGTCGGGCCTGTCCCTCTACAGGAGGAAGATCCAAAAATAGTAAAAAAATAGTCTGGGGACTATTGTTTGAGTATTTCTTGACCATTCTGGAGCATTTTGTTCAGTATTTTTCATTCTTCGTCGCAGATCCCCTGTAGGGGGACACGCCCGACTTGACACTGCTCGCAAAGTGCCTCCGCGCAAACGTCCGACACCTACATGTCTGCGTCGATGGCGTCTGCCGCAGAGCTCCCGCGGCGGATCCGGTCCATCTGCGAGCAGTCGCTCTGCGAGCCGTGGAGCGCGCCCGGAGGGGAACAGAAAGTGGCCTAAACATGAAAGCTCGGAGGTCCGCGCGGATTTTTCGGATCGGCGCTGGACCCCCCTCCCTGGCGCGCGGAGCGCGCCAAGGGGCGGCGCGGGAGGCGCCGCCGGGGGGGCCCCAGCGCCGAGCCGAGGAGTCCGCGCGGGCCTCCGAGTTTTTATGTTTATGCCACTTCTTGTCGCAAGCCTAGAGATTGACACCAACACCAATGTCGGCGGTGTGCCTCCACCGAGGGAAGAACATCCCGATCTCGGTGATGGTGGTAGTATTCTGGCTTCCAAGGTGACCGAACTATTGCCACCAGCACCGAAATCTAGGATCATCATCCCCCCTGTGGAGGCAAACCCCTGTGTTGGTGTTGGTGCCCATTTCCAGGCCTTCAATCTTGTTCCCCCTACTCCTCCTCCTCCTTCTCCTCCTCCTCCTCCTCCTCCTCCTCCTCCTCCTCCGCCAGTATAATGATGGCCAAGGCGGGGCTCGGGATCGACAGGCTCACGCCGATCGACTTCCAGCGCCTCCCCGAGGCAGCCCTGGGCGATCGTCGACCTCTGCGGCGCATCACGCCCGCCCTCCGATCTCGCTGCGCCCCTTGTGGCCCCCCCCCCCCCGGGGGGGCGCGCACGTGCCCGCGGGCCACGGCTGGGCGCCCCCGACCCTCTCTCTGCGGGAGGGGGAGGGAGCACACCGGCGCAATTCGGCGTCGACGCCCAGAAAAGGATGGGAAAGCATGGGGAGTGTGGGGGGGAAGACAAACAAAATCCTGCAAATGTTGGGAAATAGGGGGAGTCTTCTTGTTTGTACGTGTTTGTTGGTGTGTCCTGGGGCCCCTTCACCTCTGACCGCGGCCGTCCGCCTTTCGATCTTTTCGGAACCTGTGGCTGGGGCGTTGGTGTCGAGCCGGTGGGCAAAAGCATTCGTAAGCTGTGGCTGGGGTGTTGGTGGGCGAGCCGGTGGGCAAAAACACTCGTAGTCTTAACTCGGGCCTGGACGTTTTTTAAAGTATGTTTGCCCATTTTGGGGGCATTTTTGCGAGTATTGTTTCTTTTTCGCCCCAAATCCTCCTATACGGGGACACGCCCGTCTTAACCTTAATCTGCACATAGGAACCCAGATTTCAGAAGCACCCTCTCGTACTCCCGAGTGGTGGCCAGCGGGCGGGGGTCCTGCGCGGCCCGCCCTTGCATCACCGGCCAACCTCGGTGTAGTCTGCGAAATGGTTCTTCGGCCTGTTCGGGTACCTTTCTCACTGCCCTGGCAGACACAGGAGGGGACAGAACACACAGACACAATGAATCGTCGACTCCCAGGAGAATGTGGGAAACTATGGGAAGTGTGTGGGGGGAAGACGAGAACCCAGAAACTATGGGAAAATATATGTGGGGGATCCTGCTATCCCTGTCCATCTGTCTGTGCGCCCCAGGGCCCCTCCACAGACAGCAGTAACCGCCATCGCACCATCCACCAAGGCGTTCCCCTTCCACGCCCTTCGCAGGTCGACGCCCCCCCGCCGGGCGGCCGCGGCGCGCGCGCGGGCGCGCGCGCGCGCCAGGACCTCACCCCGTCCTTCGTCAGCATCCTGAAGCCCGCCCGCCGCCTGCGGGCGACGAGCTCTGGGCACGTCCACTGTCCTGGGACTGGCCCCTCCTGGGCCCAGGCGCGGCGTCTGTTGGGATCGGGGGTGGCGAGGACCTCAGGCCAGGGGACCCGGTGAGTGGTAGGGCCCCGGAGCCTTGGAATTGGCCGGAATCGCTAAGCCAGGGTTGCCATAGCTGGTGTTTTTTCGGGTGACGGCAAATCCGGTTCGTGGAAATGGGACGGGGGGGCGCCCCCGGTACAGAGCACTAAACCAGGTTCCACGAAACCCCGTTCTGCCAACGCCCGATCGGAGGTGGACAGAGCCTTCACCCTGACACGTCGATGGGCGACTTGTCCGTCTCCGGGCCTCGAGAGGGCGCCGCGGCCGTCCTCTCCCAGGCCTGCGCCCGCCAGGTTTCCGCCCGAGGCCGCTCTCATGAAGCCACGCTTTGCGAAAAAGGGTGCTCTGTCCATCCCCGGCATGTGCGCCCCCGGGCCAAGCCGGGAGGGGCCCTGCGCCCAGCCTGGGGGCCAGGCCTCGGGCGGTGGACGCGCACGGAGCCCGTCGCCCCCCCCTGCCGCTCTCCCCGCCCCCCGAGGAGGGCCTGCGCGCGCCTGGGAGGGGCGCGCGGCGGGGAGGGGGAGGCGGAGGGCGAGGACGGCAAGGGGGAGGGCGAGGACGGCAAGGGCGAGGGGGGGGGGTGAGGGCGAGGACGGCAAGGGGGAGGGCGAGGGGGGGAGGGATGCTTCTGGGTCGCGCAGGCCAGCGGCGGCGGCGACGACCACTGCGTCGACGAGGGCTCCACGACGGCGACGACGACGAGGGCGGCAATGGCGACGACAACGACGACGAAACGACAACGAAGACGAAACGACGACGACGACGACGACGATCACGACGACGACGACGGCGGCGGCGACGACGACGACTACGCCGAGGGCGGCAATGACGACGACGACGACGACAACGAGGGCGACAACGATGACAGGGGCGACGACGACGACGGCGACAACGATAGTCTGCCCCTTTTTTCCCGCTCTTGCATGTTGGCCAATTCGCTGCAGCGGTGTCCCCGTTTGTCAGCTCCTTCCGCCAGCGCATGCGACCCCTGCCTAGCCGTCGACGCAAGATGTTTCTGGGTTGCGCACCTGAGTCGACCGCTGGCTGGTCGGGTGACAGGCCGGCACGCAGCACGCCACAGCAAGACAGGGGCCGATGCCCGGAGCTTGCATCGGCTCGGGCGCCGAGGTTGCGGGCAAGTCTTGTGCTGCCAGTGGCAGTGAAAGGCAGAAAGTGCAGCGCAGTACGAGGACAGTGCAGTTTAGGCAAAACAGGGAGCGGCACATACAACGAGACAGCGAGGCAAGCGGTCCTTATCTGTTTCTTTATGCTGGGGCCCTGACGCGCAAAGCTGGACGCAACCCTCGGCCACTGAATCGCATACCTGAGGCGGGAAGAACTCTTCGGCCCCCCGACGGCACGAGAACGAGACGGTTGAGGAAGCACCGCTGATCTTCGCACTAAGATTCAGGAGAGGAGGTACCGCAGCACACTTTCTCCTGCCAGCCGCAGCAGCTTGCCTTCAGTGAGTGGCGCCGTCGTTCTTGGCTAGGACGAGCTCTCTTCTCCCATCACCAGCACGAGCGATAGACGGCGGAGGACAACACCCTCGGCTACCTGCACGTCAAGCAGCCCTCAACATCCCATGCAGCAGCGTTCCAGGAACGCGTGAGAGCAACCGCCTCAGCATGTCCTCGGCTTCGGCCCCGACCGCACCGACCGATCCGGACTGTCGTGGGCCCATCCGTGTGGGGATGCGTTGACTGCCCCCCTGTTCCAACATGCTTCCAACGTGCTTCTGGCTCTGTGCCCTTCTTACGCGAATGTGGCGCATGTGCAGCGAGAACGTCGATGCGCAATCCTGGCGCCTGAATGGCGGCTAGCATATGTCGAGACGAGAGTGTGTACGCGCGATCTTGATGCCGCGCCGGCGTACGTCCATGCGAATATTCTATGCGCGTGTGTTGATCCAACGCGCCACCTCGCACTGTCCGGACGGTACGGCTGCCGACGTCATCACATGATAGTCGGACGCCATCTTCCGTGTGCTGTGCATCAGTCGTATCTCCAAGGTATCAGCTATCAAGTACTGCTGACGAGCAAGTTCACGTGCCAGTGCTTGCCTTCGGCCAGGGCTGTCAATACCTGCCGCACCCTGGTATCTGCACCTGAGGGGGGACCCGCCTCCTTTTACCTTGGCGTTGTGGGGATGCAACGTCCGGACATTGGCCACTGCCAGTCGCACTCGATTGTGTCTTGTACCATCGGCGTTCCGGGACAGATCCTCGCCAATCTTCGATCCGCATCTCGCATCTCGACAGCCACGGCACAACATGTAATTGAGCACACACGACCCGAAAAGTTTGATCAGCGCATCCAAGACCGTTGGCAACACTCCACAGGACTGATATGTTACCCCTCCGGCAACCGTTCTAACCATCATGCTGTTGTTTGTGTGGACCTGCACGGGCAGTTCCCGAAAAATGCTGGTGCCTTGTAGTAGCCACGTCACGAACCATAGGGCAGCATGAAACTCGGCTGGTTCTGAAGTACTCGCGAATTCTGGTAGCTGGGGATGCCAGATACTCCTCAACACGAAAACGGTTATTCCGAGATATCCCGAGAAACACGAATGTCTAAGACGGAGGCCTTGTACAGGTACTCGTCGATCAACCTGGACCGTCGGTAAACACCTCATATCTGACAATCTCAGAAGTTGCAATGGATTGGCCAGACCAGGATGCAAGCAAAACTGTCGTGTGGGGGAGTAGAGGCATGAGGGAGAGCTGACTTTGGTCTGGCGCTGCTGCACCTCCCCATGGACGAGAGGTGTGAGGGTGGTATCATGTGGCCGTGCAGCCTTCAAAAAGGACACCATGTCAGAACCGCTGGGGATGGGGCTAGGCCTAGATCGGGCATGTCTCTCTCACAGGCGGTTTTTGGACGAAAAATAAGAAGTACAAACAACAATGCCCAAATATTCAACAAAATAGTCGAGCAATCGCCCCCAGACTATTTTTTGACCATTTTAGAATTTTCCTCCTGGAGGGGGACATGTCCGACCTGAGGCCAGGCGGAATCGTGCCGCTGCAAAGTGCGCCTGCGCTCAGCCCAGCTGAGAGGCAGGCGGCCCGCTCACCCCGCCGCCGCCTCTCGCAGCAAGGCTCACCCTGGCGCCCTCGTGCATTCGAGGGAGATCGGGTCGGACGACATCGAGATCGCGACCCTGTCATCGCCAGAGTGAGCCGCATGTCACCGACCGAATCCAGGGTCAGCAGCAGCCTCTGGATGCGGCTCGACCGGATCGTCGGCGTCCAGCCGGAAGCCTTCGGGTGCGTCTCCTCCGTCTCTCCTCGTGGGCACCTGCTGCGGCCACGCTCGCCTCTCGGACTGCGATCCCTGCAGCCACCAGGGGAGTCCCGAGCTCGCACTTCGTCTCGACCTTGTGGCGACGGCGCACCCTGGGCATCTCGTTCCCTCTCTGCTCTGCTCGAGCCTCGGCCGCCTTGTCACGACGGGTCCTGGCCCTCGTCAAGAGGCCCTTCTGCTTGTCGGCCCGTTCTCTCGTTGTCGGTCCGTTCTGCCCGTCAAGAAGGCCGTCGTGCCGTCTGCCCCGTCGTGCTCGCCAGAGCGGCGTACTCCTGCTTTGGTCTGAGCCTCGAACATTCCAGGAGGAGAAAAACACACAGACACAATGAATCGTCGATTCCCAGAAAATATGGGAAAATATGGGCAGTGGGGGGAAGACAGAAACCCAGGAAATATGGGAAACTATGGCGGATCTTTTTATTTGTGTGTAGTTATTTGTGTGTCTCATGGCCCCTTCAAACATGCTCAGCATCCTGGACGCGCGCAGCCTCTTCACCGTCGCGATGGCGGCACTCCCGAGCGCAGCGCGGTGTGTGGCCAGCGGCGCAGGCTCCGTAGGCGGCTGCACCCACGAGTCGTGCTGCATCGCGGCGGTCGGCAGCGCTGGCAGCACTCCCAGGGGCGGCTCAGCATCAGGCCCTCCCTCTGCTGCCGAGGGCTGCCGCCTCGTTCCTCATCGTCAAGGCGGACCTCGCTGCGCCTCGACCGCCGGGGAGATGGCGGCCTCGCCCTCGGCGGCCGTCTCGGCCTCCTTCGCGACGGCGAGCGCACATCGCCCCTCGCGGGCTCAGGCTCAGCTCCAGGCTCCACAGGGCGACTCGGCGGCTGCTCTGGAGCAGCGTCCGCCATCCGCCCTGCCGCCTGCGGCCGCCGAGCGTCCTGAGCCTGCCGCTGCCGGGGATGCCGCGCATGGCCGAGGCGCCCCTGCGGCAGCGTCGTGCAGTGCACGCGCGGCTGCGCGTCCGCCGCGCCGGGGTGGCCGCATGCTGGGCACCCCGCCCACACGTCGGGCTGCACGGCTGGCGGTGGCGGGATCCAGCCTGCAGGTCCTCCGACCCGGGCCTGCCCCTTGCCTCCGCCCTCGGCGGCCGCACGGCCGCCTGCGGCCCCCCCCTCTGCGGCCGTCGCGCACCTCGCAGGTGCACGTCGTTGCCGCCGCCGCCGCTGCTCGGATGACGCCAGCCGCCACCCCGACCAGGACCCGCGCGGCTGCGCGCTGTGTCCGGGCCCGCCCGTGACGGGACGGCTCCGCCCCGCGAAGCGTGGGGAGCCCCCAGCCGCGCAGGCCTGGCGGCGGCCGCGCAGCAGGCGGAGCGCAGCAGGCCCGGCTGCCACCTCGCGGGCCGCAGCAGCAGGCAGAGCACGGCTGGGACCGCACGCCTCACGGGCGCGGGCCGGCCCGTGTGGCAGCTGCCCCGAGCGAGGTTCGCGGCTACCTGGTATCCGCGCCCAGAGACTCGAGCCGCGGCGGCGGTCAGGAGGGGGGGAAGGAGGGGTGGATGGTGATGGTGATGGTGATGGCGGTGGTGGTGATGGTGATGGTGGTGGTGATGGTGGTGGTGGTGGTGGTGATGATGGCGAGGATGACGACGACGTTGATGTTGTTGATGATGATGCTTATAATGATGATGAAGATGCTGATAATGACGATGATTATGGTGACGCTGATGTCGATGATGATGATGCTGCTGCTGCTGATGATGATGATAACGCCGATGCTTATGTTGACGACGATTAATGTCGATGATGTTGTTGATGATGATGCCGATGCTGATACTGATGATGATGACGAAGATGATAATGCTGCTGTTGCCAATGATGATGCTGATGGTGTTTATCATGATGCTGCTGCTGCTGCTGATGATGCTGTTATTGATGATGATGGTGATGCTGATGATTCTGATGATGATGACGATGATGGCGACGAGGATTATGATGATGGTGGTGGTGGTAATGATGATGATGAGGAGGAAGAGGATGATGGTGATTGATGATGACGGCGGCGATGGTGATGAGGATGGTGATCATGATGACAACGCTGAAGCCGACGACGCCAACGCTGACTCCGACGTCGACGCCGACCGCGACGCCGATGATGGCGGTGATGATTATGGTGGTGGTGATGCTTGTCTGTGTTGGCGATACTAAGGTGCACATGTCGCCGTCGACGCTGATGACGGTGATGATGACGATGCCGATGATGACGACGGTAAGTTTGATGGTGATGATGGTGACGACAATGGATCTGATGATTCTGGTAGTAGTGCTGCTGATGATGATGATGGTGATGCTGATTATGATTATGCTGGTGGTGGTGACAATGATGATGCTGCTGCTGCTGAGGCTGCTGCTGAGGCTGCTGCTGATGATACTGATTCTGATGATGATGATGGAAATAATAATGATGATTCTGATGATGATGGACATGCTGCTGATGCTGATGATGATGATGCGGATGCTGATGATGATGATGATGATGATGATGCTGATGATGATGAATGATGATGATGATGCTGATGATGATGATGATGATGATGATGATGGAGGTGGTGGTGGTGATAATGACGTCGACGACGATGATGGTTATTCTGCTGTTGATGACACTAGTGCGGATGAGGATCGTGATTATGGTGGTGGTGATGGTAATGGTGATGCTAGTTGTGATGGTATCGGTGATGGCTCCGGCTACGACGCTGATGATGATGTGATCATTATGATGCTGATGATGATGATGATGATGATGATGATGATGCTGATGCTGGTGCTGATGCTGATGCTGGTGCTGATGCTGATGCTGATGCTGATGACGATGCTGCTGCTGCTGCTGTTGCTGCTGCTGATGATGATGATGATGAAAATGGTGGCGATGGTGATGTTCATGATGACGACGACGATAATGGTGATGATGGTGATGATGATGCTGATGATGCTAATGATCACGACGACAGCATCGACGACTACGATGACTGTAATGATTGTGATGATTCTGATCGCGATGATGGTTACGCTATGATAACGGTGATGATGGTGAGGTCGATGGTGTTGATTCGTTCGATGGGTATCACAGTTTGAGCCGCAATGCAGGGGCTGATAAACGTAGAGCAGCCAGAAGCCTGGCTCGCGCGCCTCAGCTCCTCTTCCCCGTTGGTCCTCTGCTGCTGCTGCTGCTGCTGCTGCTGCTGCTCTTCCGCGTCGACGTCCCACGACGGCGCTCGCACGCGACGTCGACGACGACGACCTCTGCCGCCGCCCCGGGCAGCTCGCGGAGTGTCGCTTGACCCCCGTCGACGCCGGTCCGGCGACGCCGCCCGATCGCCCGACGACGCCTTCGACGACGCCCGACTGCGTCGCCGACGTCCCCCTTCCCTTCCCCCCCTCCTCCTCCTCCTCCTCCTCCTCCTCCTCCTCCTCCTCCTCCTCCTCCTCCTCCTCCTCCTCCTCCTCCTCCTCCTCCTCCCCCTCCCCCAGGCAGATCACGGAGCACCGGCTGCCCCGCGATTTTGACTACCACCGCATGCCCGCGCCCTGGCTGCAGGCGGGCGGCGGGGGCCCCCCCCCGCGGGCCTCTCGGCGGGCCTCTCCCCCCCGGAGGCCCTCGCCTGCGCCGGCGCGCCGCCCTCCCCCGCTGCCGCACCTGCCGCTGCTGCTGCTGCTGCTGCTGCGCCTCCTCCTCCTCCTCCTCCTCCTCCTCTTCCTCTTCCTCGTCTTCGTCTTCCTCGTCCTCGTCCTCGTCCTCCTCCTCTTCCTCTGCTTCCCCTTCCGCTTCCTCCTCTTCTTCTTCTTCCTCTTCTTCTTCTGCTTCTTGATCGTCGTCGTCGTCGGCCTCGGCATCGGCCTCGGCGTCGGCATCGGCGGCTGCCTCTGCGTCGACGTCGCCGTCGACGTCCATTGTTATCGTTGCCGTCGCCGTCGTCGTCGTCGTTCGAGGAGGAGGATGAGGAGGAGGAGGAGGAGGAGGAGGAGGAGGAGGAGGAGCAGGGCGGTGGCGGCGGCGGCGGCCGACGACGACGACTACGAGAAGGGGGGGGCGTTGACGACGAGATGGGGGGAGGAACACGGGGGTGGCATGGGAGGGAGAGGGGCAGGGAGCAGGGAGCAGGAGGCCGAGCTGGAGAAAACGCGAGACCCTTCCTGCTCCTCTTCCTCTTCACTTCCTCCGTCTTCCTCCTTCTTCTTCCCTCCTCTTTTTCCGTCTCCTCCCCCTCCTGCTTCGTGACGCAGCGGATCAGACAACAGCCGGGCAGCGCTGCTCCCGGAACGGGAGCAGGGCATCGCGTCAGCCGTTCTGCTAGGTGTTTGCCCGTGGTCTAGCAGCATGCGATGGCGTCGACTAGGCTCACGAGAGCAAATCGGGTACACCGTGATTCCTGTCGCCCAGGCGACGGCGGCGACCGTCTTCCGATGCCCATGGGCGCTCATCTTGTGGGCAGCGAGGGCCTTGTTCGACGTGTCTACTGGCAATGCTCACACGCATGCCGCAACGCCTCTTCCTCCATGTATTTGGTCTCCGACCCAGCATCCTTGGTGAAATCGCTCACCGCGGCCTCCAATTGGTCCGTGTGCTCACGGGCCCACTCCTTCCAACGACGCCACTCCGCGCAAGGGTCAACAACGTATCGTGGAGGCCTTACGGCCAGTGCCGCCGACCCGGACGGCGGGACCCCAGGGGGCGATATCTTGACTTAAGTCGGGCGTGTCCCTCTACAGAAGGAATATTCCAAAATTGTCAAGAAACTGCTTGGGGATGATTTTTGACTATTTTTGATCATTTTTGAATTTTTTGTCGACTCTTGTTTCGTTTTTGTTTTTGTTTTTTAATCTCCCAAAGTCCGCCTGACATGCCCGACCGAAATCTGGACCCGGGACCACCCTCCGCCACCACAGGCGGCACCTCCCCCGGGACCCCCTTTGGCGAGCCCCCCTTGGGGGCCGTGGTCTGCTTCTGGACCCCCCTACAGGACCCCTCTCCCACAGGCGGCCCTCCCCCCTCTTGCTCGTCTCGCCTGACCACGGGGGGGACTGCAACGGGGACGGGGGCCCGCCGGGACCCCCAGGGGGGGGGGTAATCTGACCCGGGCCCCCCCTCCCCCCCGCTGCACCTCCCGCCCCCCCCACCTACCCCCCACTCTCCCCCGTGTCCCTCCCCCTTTTCAGGGAGGTGAAGACGGGGAGGGGATCGACTTAGTTACGATGTTGTTTTTTTCTGCTCGTTCCACAATCCCCTTGGGACTGGCGACGACGCGAAGACGACGACGGCGTCTCACACACGCCGAAGGGTCGGCGGATTTCTTGTGTCGCAACGCGTATCCCTCCTAGCTCATGCAGGATCGCAGGCGAGTTGTTTTGAGAACGGCAGTGAATGAGATCATGAAGCCGAGAGGGGCGACACCAGTCGCAGGGTGGGACCTCTCAGGTAGAGAGCGCCTTATTGTGGGGAGACATTGGGGCCTCCTGATGAGGTATTCGACGTGGAGTGTTGTACGGGCCCTTTCGCTCCCACATTCTTGGGATTTCTCAGGTACAGCGCCTGGCGGGGAGATGCGCGTCTCTTTTTTCGAGCCCCATCTTATCTCTGTGTAGCCGGTGCAGCATTGAGGCCTCCCAACGGGATGTTCGACCTGGGGTGTTGGGGTGTTGGGCGGGCCCTTTCGCGCCCATACTGGTGGGACCTCTGAGGTAGAGGGCCTGTTTGCGGTGAGATGCGCGTTTCTTTTCCGAGCCCCATGATCATCGCGGTGTAGCCGATGCGGCGCTGGGACCTCCCAATGGGGTTTTCGGCTTGGTGAATTTTACGGGCTTTTTCGTGCCCACATTGGTTGGATTTCTCAAACCCGATGGTCATCGCGGTGTAGCTGGTGCGGCATCGGGGTTTCCCAAGGGGGTTCGGCTTGATGAGTTTTACGAGCCTTTTCGCGCCAACACTGGTGAGATCTCTCAGGTAGAGCGCCTGCTTGCGGGGAAGCTCGCGTTAGTTTTAGAGCTCCATGATCATCGCGATGTAGCCAGTGCGGCATTGAGGCCCCACAAGAGGGTTTTTGCTCGTCCCTTTCCTCGGGGCAGGTGAAGCTCCTGTCCATCCTCGGCTTGCTGGCGCGCTGCCGCGACCGATGCCACCCTGTCCTCGCTTCGAGGGCGGGGGGGGGTCGGGTGGAGAGGAGGAGAATGACGACGACACTGAACTGAGGTAGGACGATGAGGATGAGGCTGGATGGGGATGGGCATGGGGAGTGAGTGGAGCAGGAGGAGGAGGCTGAGGAGGAGGAGGAGAAGGAGGAGGAGGAGGAGGAGGCGGAGGAGTAGGTGTAGTAGTCGTAGTAGTCGTCTTCGTAGTAGTAGTAGTAGTAGTAGTAGTAGTAGTAGTAGTAGTAGTAGTAGTAGTAGTAGTAGTAGTAGTAGTAGTAGTAGTAGTAGTAGTAGTAGTAGTAGTAGTAGTAGTAGTAGTAGTAGTAGTAGTAGTAGTAGTAGTAGTAGTAGTAGTAGTAGTAGTAGTAGTAGTAGTAGTAGTAGTAGTAGTAGTAGTAGTAGTAGTAGTAGTAGTAGTAGTAGTGGTAGTAGTACTAGTGGTAGTAGTCGTAGTAGTAGTCGTAGTCGTAGGAGCAGCAGCAACAGCAGCAGCAGCATCATCAGCAGCAGCAGCAGCAGCAGCAGCAGCAGCAGCAGTAGTAGTAGTAGTAGTAGTAGTAGTCGTAGGCGTAGGCGTAATATTGTTCATGCTGTTGCTGTTAGTAGTATTATCAGTAGTCATAGTAGTAGAAGTAGAAGTAGTAGTCGTAGTCGCAGAAGAAGTGGCAGCAGTAGTAGTAGTAGTAGTAGTAGTAGTAGTAGTAGTAGTAGTAGGTAAATATTAGTAGTAGTAGTAGTAGTAGTAGTAGTAGAGTAGTAAGTAGTAGAAGTAGTGTAGTATAGTAGTAGTAGTAGTAGTAGTCGTAGTAGTAGTAGTAGTAGTAGTAGTAGTAGTAGTAGTAGTAGTAGTATTAGTAGTAGTAGTAGTAGTAGTAGTAGTAGTAGTAGTCGTAGTAGTAGTAGTAGTAGTAGTAGTAGTCGTCGTAGTAGCCGTGGTTCCCGTCGTCGTCGTCGTAGTAACATCATTATTATTATTAGTAGTAGTAGTAGTAGTAGTAGTAGTAGTAGTAGTAGTAGTGGTAGTAATAGCAGCAGTAGTCGTATAAGTAGCAGACGTAGTAATAGTAACCGTAGTAGTAGCAGCAGTAGTAGTAGACGTAGTAGTAGTGGTCGTAGTAGTAGTGTGAGTAGTAGTAGTAGTAGCAGTAGTAGTAGTAGTAGTAGTAGTAGTAGTAGTAGTAGTAGTAGTAGTCGTAGTAGTAGTAGTAGTAGTAGTAGTAGTAGTAGTAGTAGTAGTAGTAGTAGTAGTAGTAGTAGTCGTAGTCGTAGTATGAGTAGGAGTAGGAGTATTAGTAGGAGTAGTCGTAGTAGTAAAAGGAGGAGGAGGTGGAGGAGCAGTAGGAGGAGGAGGAGGAGGAGCAGGAGGAGGAGGAGGAGGAGCAGGTCGTGGAGGCGGACTATGAGGAGAGATCATAGGGTCATGGGGCCAGGAAGTGCGCGGTGCGCACCGCATGCAGGTGTGCCGCAATGGCAGGCAACCGGCACCATCGGCCTCCCTTTACGGGAGGAAGCGGTCCCGAAGGCTCGCGCACCGACGAATCGCCCAGCGACTTGCCTCCAGCCGACAGGGCGTGGTGCGTAGGGGGACGGTCCGTTCACCTCGTCGCTGCAAGGTACATCCTGGACGTCAACCCCTGCCCAATCAGCTGGCATGCGAACTGTTTTTTCCCCACGGTGAGCGGGCACACGGCCACCATTGGACTTACGGGCCACATGGCCCCGCCTCTCAAGCAAATGCGCAATTCCCCGTGCTTGGTACCCACCTCCAGGTCACGGGGCGTGCCTAGCACCGATGCCACGGGCAAAGTGCCACGTGGCTGCTTCAAAAGGCGCGAGCCCGTTTGGCTGCCCCCAGTCGCCACGTGCAGTTGAGTCTGACGGTGTGCCCCAAGGAATGTGTGTGTGGCGCTGACACCATGAGAACAGGTGCCAGGCCCTCACCCTCTGGGCTGGAGGAGGAGGAGGAGGAGGAGGAGGAGGAGGAGGAGGAGGAGGAGGAGGAGGAGGAAGGGAAGGAAACAGGAGGAGGGAAGGAGTGAGGATTGTTTCGGTTGCCTGGCCTTGGATTCTCTTCGGCAACCGCGCCTCGACGAGGGCTTTCTGGGGAGGCCAGTCAAGGGAGGCTGTCCAGGGCGCGTTGGTCGGAAGCTGGAGGCTCGAGTCAAGGGCAGTATTTTGTTCAACGAAGAGGAGGAATGAACTTGTGTGTGTGTGTGTATGTGTCCGCGCCCGCTACCATGGTTGCAGCACGGGCTGGCCGCCCCGGCCGCTCGGCGGCGGCACCCGCCATGTGAGCGCTCTCCCTTCCTCCTCCTGGCCCGCGGCCGCTTCGCCTTTCTTTTTCTCCTGCCGCCGATTAACTTGCGCCTTCCGTTGCCGTGACCGCCCGAGCTCGTGTCCGGACTGTATCTGCCGCGCTGCGATGTAAAAGTGTGTGTGTGTGTGTGTGTTTGTGTGTTCGCCGTATATTGATTCGCTTTGACCGTAATGTCGGCTCCTGGGGAGCCCTGGATGCCATTATTTTGGTGGGCCTTGTCGCAGAAGCGTGTTGGTGTCGTGCGTCCATCTGGGAAACCCCACACCGTGCTCAGAAACGGGCCCTGTTGGGCCATTGTGGGGCCCAGTGGGGGCCGTTTCGGAGCGCATCGGGCCTCTTCGGGGCTTCTTGGGCCCTGTTGGGGCTTTTGGGGACCTGCTGCCGGTTGTGGGGGCCTTTTTTTGGGGCGTAGGGCTCGCAATGTCAGTTCTATTTCCCCTCTTGGGTCTCTCTTGGCGCTTACTTGGGAGCGTCTTGGGCCGTGTTGGGTGCCTCGTGGGCCGTCTTGGGACCTCTTTTGGCCGTCTTGGGTCCTCTGGGGATCCTTGCTGGCCGTCTTGGGGCGTTCTTGGGGGCCTTGGGGAAGGCAAGAAGTGCCAAGAAGGCGAAGACGGTCAAGACGCTGACGTAAGGACGGCTTCGTGCTCAGGCGTGGCTCTGGTCTCCAGGGCGTTCCTCAGACCTAGGTCGGGGGACGTGTTCGGGGCCGAGGCTCGCCGTGATCAGGAAAGGCCGCTCAGTTCCTTATTCAGCGTTCGATATTGTAGCATGATGGCTATGTGCCCACAGTGAAAGTTTCCCACAGGGAATAATCCTTTTTTGATCTTAGGGCCCTGTTGGAATTCCTCTTGGAGCGCTCCTGATGCGTCTTAGGGGCCTCTTGCGGTGCCTGGAGGCAGTCTTTGGTCTTGGGAAGTGTTGTGGCCATCTGGGGCGACCTGAAGCCGTTAGGTACAACAGTGAGGAGTTATTCATACGGAATATTATTGGAAGAGGTCTGGAAGGGGGAGGCGGGATGGGGGGGTGAATGGAGGAAGGATCAGGGGTGATGATGATGATGATGATGCTGCTGCTGCGCTGGTGATGACGATGCTTCTGCTGCTGCTGATGATGGTAGCGGAAGTGGTTTTGGTGGTGGTGACCGTGATGAGGGTGCTGCTGCTGATGATGTTGCTGATGATGCTGCTTACGATGATAACGATGCTGATGCTGATGATTATGATGACAATGGTAATGGTGATGGTGACTGTGACGATGTTGATGATTATGTTGACGATGATGTTGATGAAGAGTATGATGGTGATGACGATATGGATGCTGTTGTTGATGATGGTGCTGACACTGATGATGCTGATGATGATGATGATGATGATGATGGTGATGTTGATGGTGATGATGGTGGTGGTGATGATGATGCTAATGCTAATGCTGATGATGATGATGATGATGCTGGTGATGATGCTGATGATGATGACGATGCTGACTCTAATGATAGTGACGATGATGATGATTCTGCTATTGTTGTTGATGATGATGGTGGTGAATGTGACGACGATGACGATAGCGATGACAATGATGATGCTGATGATGCTGCTGCTGATGATGCTGATGCTGATGATGATGATGCTGTTTAAGGGTATGACGGTGATTGTGGATGCTGTTGGTGACGGTGCTGATACGGATGATGATGATGATGCTGCTGGTGATGGTGATGCTGATGCACATGATGATGCTGTTTTTGTTGGTGGCGATGGCGACTACGATCATGATGATGCTGATGGTGATGCAGACGCTGATGGTGGTGATGATGATACTGATGATGACGAGGATGATGATGATGATGATGATGATGATGATGATGATGATGATGATGATGATGATGATGATGATGATGATGATGCTGATGATGATGATGATGATGATGATGCTGATGATGCAGATACTGCTGCTGCCGCTGCTGCTGATGATGATGATGATGATGATGGTGGTGGTGGTGGTGGTGGTGATGGTGATGGTGATGGTCAGGAGGAGGAGCACGAGGAGGATGATGATGAGGAGGAGGATCAGGGGGATGGATGGGGAATGAGGCAGAAGGATGGAGTATTGACGACGAGGATTGGGAGGAGGAGGAGGAGCCTGAGGATATTGATGAGGTGGAGGAGTAGGACGAAAAGGATGATGATGATGATGATGATGATGATGATGATGATGATGATGATGATGATGATGATGATGATGATGATGATGATGATGATGATGATGATGATGATGATGATGATGATGATGATGATGATGATGATGATGATGATGATGATGATGATGATGATGATGATGATGATGATGATGATGATGATGATGATGATGATGATGATGATGATGATGATGATGATGATGATGATGATGACGACGACGACGACGACGACGATGATGATGATGATGATGATGATGATGAGGATGAGGATGAGGATGAGATGAGGATGAGGATGAGGATGAGGATGAGGATGATGATGATGATGATGATGATGATGATGATGATGATGATGATGAGAATGATGAGGATGATGATGATGCTTGGTGGTGGTGGTGGTGGTGGTGATGGTGGTGGTGGTGATGGTGATGGTCAGGAGGAGGAGGAGGAGGAGGAGGAGGAGGAGGAGGAGGAGGAGGAGGAGGACGAGGATGAGAAGGATGAGGAGATTGAGGATCGGAGTCAGTTTGAGCCCTCCCCTTCCCTCTCCCCCTTCTCCCTCCTCGTTCTCCTCCTCCTCCTTCTCCTCCTCGTCAATGGGTCTCTGGCTGTCCCTGGAGGCCCTTCGAAGTCTCGTGGCCTCTGGAGGCCCAGAGAGGGCCGGGAAAATACCCAAGGATCTCGGCAGGCCAGCACTCTTCCACCAGCAGGTTTGCAGCCGGGGGCCGACCTGCGGCCTGGCCGCCCCGCGCGCCCCCCGCGGCCTAGGCCGCGTGAGTGCGCCTTCCTCCTCCTCCCGTCTCTGCGGCTGGCTCTCTTCTTTTCCTCTTCCTCCCGCATGCGGGACCATTCGCGGTACCGTAGCCCGGATGGCTCGGACGCGCGAGCGGACCGCCTCTGCCGCGCCGCGGCGGGAAACAAAACTTTGCAGCCACAGGGCTGGCGCAGGGCGGAGTTGTGGCCCAGAGCTGGGGATACGTTGAGCCCGAGTCATCCGTCAGTGAGTCGGTCCTCCTCCTCCTCCTCCTCCTCCTCCTCCTTTTCCTCCTTTTTCTCCTCCTCCTCCTCCTCCTTTTCCTCCTCCTCCTCCTCCTCCTCCTCCTCCTCCTCCTCCCCTCTAGGGCGTTGCGGTGCCATGCCGCGCCTGGGGCTTCGGTGCCGAGTGCAGGGCAGTTGCGGTCGGCCTTGGGCGCGTGTCCCCCTTGGGCTCTTATAGAAACACAGAGCAGGCCAGAATAGTTCTCTGCTCCTCCTCTTTTTTCCTCCTTCTCCTTCCGCGCAGCGTCGCGGTGCAGATGCTCGCGGCTTGGTGCAAGGTGCCAGGCCGCCCGCGCTGGCTCCTTGCCACCCCAGCTGCGCGTCGGCTTGGACAGCGCGGCGGCGCCCCGTGAGCACGCCGCCGGGGCACCCTCGTTCTACCCTGGGCCTGCCCTTTTGCTGCTTGACCTCCTCTTCCTCCCTCCTCCTTCCTCCTCTGCTTTTCCTCTCGTCTCCCTCGTCCGTCCCTTGCCTCTCTGTGCTCTTGTCTTCTCGGCCTCGACCTTGTTCATTCGAGTTTTTATTCGCTCCGGGTTTTTGATCTTTCGTCTTCCACCTCGGTCTCGGGCCTCGTCCGAGCGAGTGCAAGGGCGAGATCAGGCAGGTCGAGGGTTGTGCGCATGCTGGTGCAAGTTCGTCCCAGACGCGCCCGCGGCTGCTGCTGCTGACGCCGCCGTCGCCGACGTCGTCGAACCTGTCCCCCCTGGGTGAGTGTCGCTCCTCCTCCCTCCTCCCTCCCCACTTGTCCTCACGATCCGTGTCAAACAATATCATGCGGGCCACTCCTTCCAAAACTCTTTCCAAAACCTTCATCACCGACGCGAGGACGCCGTCATCGTCGTCGCCGTGATCAGCATCGGCGCCCGCACTGGCCGCGCATTCGTCGTTGTCAACATCGTCACCAGTATCACTACTATCACCAGCGTGTCTGCCGTTGTCTACGTTGCCATGATACCCCGCCCACCCAAATCGCCGACTCGCAGTGAAGCGCTGCCCTCTGGGATGTGCCCAGCGGTCAGCGCCACCGCGGCCGCGTCGGTCGCGCCAAACTAGCTGGCTGCGCGCGCGTGCTTGGGTTGGCGCGGTAGCAGAGATGCACCAGCCAACGCCAAGCATGCATCGCAATCGCCACCCCATGGGGTTTGCAGACCAAGTTGCGGGTGGGTGGGTGGGATGTGTGCAAGAGCACGGGATGTGTTATGCCACTTGTTTAAATCAATTGCACCACGTAGGGTGCACCATATAAGTTGTACCACGTGGGTTGCACTACCTAGACTGCACAATTTATGTCGCACCATATTTGTATTACATGTATACATGTGGCACATCATATGCTCCATGGTATCTTTGGCACATTCCAAAGCACCCAACATATATATATATATATATATATATATATGGCACGCTCCACATATAAGGTACCGCATCTGATGCACCACATCGAGTCCACACAGGTTGCTAGGAGTACGCTGTTGTGGGTCAGCGCTGGCTATCATATGGTTGTGGTTGTGACCGGTCTTTGGGTTACACCTCTTTGTGGCAGGCGCTCTCTTTCAGTTGGTGGTTTTCCCCCAATAATCGCTCCAAGCTTGCCCTCATAGCTGGCCTGCAGATTGTAGCCTTCGTTGAGGCAGGGGTTCTCCTGCAGGCTGTAGCTCTCCTCGTAGCTGTTGCTGTCGGTGTGCCAGGTGCCCCGCCTCCCGCTGTACTAGTTGCGGCTGGTGCTTTCCAGTAGGCCGAAACCTTCCTTGGACTGTGGCTCTCCTGTTTGATGTTGCCCTGATTTTGGCTGTAGCTGTCCTCCAGGTTGTAGCGTCGTTGCGGACGGTGCTCTCCTTCGGGCTGCTGTTTCCTTCAAGCTGCGGCATTCTTGGCATCTGAAGCTTACATTGTGGCTGTTGTCCTCCTTGAGTTTGAAGCTTTCATGGTGGCGAGTGCCCATCAACAGGTCGCATTGTCCGCCGTAACTCATACTTTTGGCTGCGGAGCCCTGTTCGGCTGTATCTGTCCTCGAGGCTTTGGGTTTACGTCAGCGTGTAGCCGTCCTCGAGGCCAGCCTCGAGCAAGCCGCTCCGGGGGTGCCTTACTGGGAGCCTTGGAGAGGGGCTGATGTACCCTGCGATGCCGGCTTCTAATCTAAAACTCTCTTAGTTCTCCAACCCGGGAGAACCCGGATGTCGATGCAGTCCAAAGCGAGCAAAACGCTTAGAGGAAACGTTGGCAAGGGCGCTGGAAAGACTTGTGTAGTCCACTTGTGCTCTCCCCCATGGTGCAGCTGTCCGTCTGGCTGTGGCCCTCCTGCGGGCTGTTGCTCTCCCGCAGGGTGCAGCTCTCCTCGTGGCTGAAGCCCTCTTTGTGGCTGCAGCTACAGTGGAGGTCCATGCAAAGAAGCACCCTGCTTGCCTCCAGGGTGCCCTGGGTTTCTTGGGTTTCGATAGTTTTGCCATGGGGAGCGTGATGTTCCCACACCAAGCATCGATGGACGTCCTGGGGTCTCAGGGTTGGGTTTCTTGTGAAAGGTTTCGTGTGGACGGGCCTCCACTGTATCCCTCCGTTCTTGCTTTGGCCGCTTTCACGTCCGCTGCAAACACCTCTGTAATCTGGCGATTGCGTGCCTTGCCGTCCACAGCACATGCGCTCGATATGCACCAGTCCGTCGTGATCGGTGGTGGCGTATGTTGCAACCGCTGAGCCACATCGGTTACATTGCCACACTCGACGGCATGTCGTAGCTCGTCGTCGTCTTACTCACTCACTCACTCACTCACTCACACTCCTCCTCCTCCCCTCCTCCCTAACGACCTCTGCGATGTGGACTGTCTTTGTCGACGACGCCCCCAGGGTCGGTGAAGTCTCCCTCCTGATCCTCTTTCTCCTCCTGACTCGCTCTCTCACTCACTCACTCCTTGCTCGCGTTGTTCCTCCCTCCCCCCCAAGGGCGGCGTCAGTGTGGGCCGGCAGGGAGAGCCCTCGAAGGCTTGAGCCTTCCCCACCATACCCCGTGCCTGCGCGTGACGCCATGGCGGCCGCTGCCGCGGCGCCACTCCCGTTGCGGACGCCCCGCGCCGCCCCACCCCCCCCACCGATTCGGAGGGCCGATGGTGATGATGATGATGATGATGATGATGATGATGATGATGATGATGATGATGCTGATGCTGATGCTGATGCTGATGCTGATGCTGATGATGATAATGGTGATGGTGATGGTGATGGTGATGGTGATGGTGATGGTGATGATGATGATGGTGGTGGTGATGATGATGGCGGTGGTGGTGGTGATGATGATGACGATGACAGTGATGGTTGTGGTGATGATGAAGATGATGATAGTGATGGTGATGATTCCGATAATCAGTATGATGCTGATGCTGATGCTGATGATGACGATGATGATGATGACGGTGAATTTGGTGATGCTGCTAATGATGCTGTTGGTGGTGGAGGTGGTGATGATGGTGATGGTGATTCTGTTGTGATGGTTATGATAACGAGGATGCTGATGAATATGATGACAATGTTGACGATGCTACTTTTGTTGAAGGTGCTGATGGTTAATGATAACAATTATCTTAACGATGACGATGCCGACGATGCTACTGATGATGCTGCTGCTGATGATGATGGTGGTGGTGATGATGCTACTGATGATGATGATGCTGGTAATGATGATGATGATGATGATGATGATGATGATGATGATGATGATGATGACGATGATGATGCTGCTGCTGATGATGCTGATGATGATGATGATGATGATGATGATGATGATGATGATGATGATGATGATCGGGAACTGGAACATATACATGAACAGTGCCAGGGTATTTTTTTCAATCCGGGGACGACGTCGGGGTGGTGTGGTGTATACTTTTCCCCCGTTTTCCACGGGACACAACAAAATATGTATACACCAGGATCCCGTATACACCAGGATCAGCGTTCCTGTGCGAATTTCATCGCAGGGTTGGAATAAGCATCGGTGTATAGAGTTCGTTTCCCTTGATGATGATGCTGCTGCTGGTGATGATGATGATGATGATGATGATGATGATGATGATGATGATGATGATACTGCTGCTGCTGCTGATGATGCTGATGATGCTGATGGTGGTGATGATGTTGATGAGATTGATGGTGGTGTTGTTGATCTGTCGATTGTGGTGACGATGAGGATGTTGTTGATGATGGTGGTGATGGTGATGCTGGTGAAGGTGGTGATGCTGATGGTGGTGGTGGGATGGTGTGATTTTGATGATGCTGGTGATGCCGGTTGCGGTGGTGGTGATGGCGGTGATGATGACGATGATGATTGCGATGGTGGTGGTGATGATGATGGTTGTGGTGCTGCCGATGAAGTTAGTGAGGCAGATGGTGGTGGTGGTGGTGGAGTGCTGAGGCGGCGAGGTGATTATTGTTATGTCGATGATGATGGTGATGCTGATGCTGCTGCTGATGATGATGTTGCTGATGATGATGATGGTGATGATGATGACGATGCTGATGGTAATGGTGATACTGCTGCTGGTTCTTCTGATGCTGATGATGCTGATGACGATGATGATGATGATGCTGATGCTGATGCTGATGCTGATGATGATGATGATGATGATGATGATGATGATGATACTGATGCTGATGATGCTGATGCTGATGCTGATGACGATGTTGATGATGATGATGAATATGACGATGCTGATAATAATGATGATGGTGATGGTGATGATGACGGTGATGCTGATTGTGATGATGATGGTGATGATGATGCTGCTGATGCTGATGCTGATGATGAGTATGATGATAATTCTGATGATGGTGGATGTGATGATGATGCTCATGATCCTGATGATGATGACAGGAGTGACGACGATGATGATGATCATGATGTTGTTGCTGATAGTGATGATGCTGCTGATGACGATGCTGATTCTGCTGCTGATGATGGTGATGATGAGGCTGATGATGCTGATGATGATGCTGGTTATGATGATGCTGATGATGATTCTGATGCTGATGATGATGATGATGATGATGATGATGCTGATGCTGATGCTGATGCTGATGATGCTGATGCTGATGCTGATGCTGATGCTGCTGCTGCCGATGATGGTGGTGTTGGTGTTGATGATGCGTATGCTTCTCTGCCGATGCCGAGGATTCTGTTTGTGATGGAGGTGTTCGTGGTGGTGTGTGGTGGTCGTGAGATGATATGAGCAGAAGGAGGAGGAGGAGGAGGAGGAGGAGGAGGAGGAGGAGGAGGAGGAGGAGCAGGAGGAGCAGGAGGAGCAGGAGGCGGAGTATGATGATGAGGAGGACCAGTGTCAACGTGACTGTTGCGTCCTGGCAATCCTTACTCGTTTCAGAACGCCATTCCGAACACTTGAACCATACGAATCTTCGAACCGGTCGCACACTTTTTAGTCGAACGTGCGTAGCGCTAAGGCGAAAACCACACTTTGAAAAATGTGCCGCCATCCATCTATGGACTGTTGCAAACTTTGGAGACAAACGCGCCCAGCGCTGAGGCGAGGGCCACGTTTCGAAGAGACCCGCCTTCCGTCCGTGCAGCTGTTGCAAACTTTTGAGACGGATGTGCGCGGCGCCGAGGCGAGAGCCACATTTTGAAAAGCACCCGCTCTCCGTCCGCGAAGCTGTTGTACAGTTTCACTCGCAGAATCGTGCACAGCGAGGAAGTCTGGCGAACTGCCCGGCACGCCCTGCTGACACGCCCGGAGATGCGACGGGGCGCAGTGATTTACAAGGAAAACGGACGGAGCGAGGAGCGAGGAGCGAGGAGCGAGGGGCGAGGAGCGAGGAGGAGGAGGAGGAGGAGGAGGAGGAGGAGGAGGAGGAGGAGGAGGAGGAGGAGGAGGAGGGGGGAGGGGGAGGAGGAGGAGGGGAGAGGAGGAATGGGAAGTGGAGGAGGAGGAAGGGGGGAGGAGGAGGAGGAGGAGGGAGGAGGAGGAGGAGGAGGAGGAGGAGGAGGAGGAGTGGAGTTGGAGGAGGAGGAGGAGGAGGAGGAGGAGGAGGAGGAGGAGGAGGAGGAGGAGGAGGAGGATGTGGAAAGAGCCTTCGGACCCCCCCTCCCCCCCGAGGGCACTCGAAGCCTACTCTGCGCAGTTTATGCTTCGGATGTCGTGCTCTCTTCGGTGCGGGCCCCCACGGGAGTCCTGGCGGGCGTGGCGTGCGTCAGCCAGGGGACCTGCGTGCTGGTGTGGCCCCCGGGCGGGGAGCGACGAGATGGTCTGCAAGCCCCTTGTCTGCTCTGGCACAGGCTGGAGCGCCGCCACGGGACCTACTCCGGCAGGGGCGAGCTCGTGGCGGCTTCACCTGGCCACGCCCGTACCTCAGGGGCCGTTGGCTCGCGCTGCACAAGCCTAGTGGGTCGTCTAATGAGCGCACAGTCACACTGAGGTAGGCGCGTAGTTCTAGGCCTCCCAGGAGGGGTCGGAGTAGATGGGGTCGGAAGATCGCGCCGCATCGTTGATGCATCGCCGATGGCCGCTCGATGTGGGGCCCGATTCGCTTCACGTCGACGTCGCCAGTGCATCGCCGACGTCGACGATGCATCTGCGGTGCATCGCTGATACATCGCCGATGCATCGCCGATGTATCGGCGATGCGGCGCGATCCTCCGACCCCATCTACTCGGACCCCATCTAAGAGACCCCTAGCATCGTCCAATGCGTTGCTGCGTGCCGAGCCCTGTCTAAGGGTTAATTTGGGAGCTGACTCTCGTTTCGGCAGTCTTGCGGCGGTTGCCCCTGTGGGACCTGGGCGAAGGCCCGTCGGTTGTGCTGGTGACGGTAATTACTCACCTGCAGCCGTGCTTCCATGCACCAGTCAACCATGCTTCGTGGGTATTCGACCGCGTCTTGAGCCGCCCAAGCGCCCCGTCGGAGCAGTTTGTCGCGCTTGAGGAGGAGGAGGAGGAGGAGGAGGAGGAGGAGGAGGAGGAGGATGGAGGAGGAGGAGGAGGAGGAGGAGGAGGAGGAGGAAGGGAGGAGGAGGAGGAGGAGGAGGAGGAGGAGGAGGAGGAGAGAGAGGGGAGGAGGAGGAGCGGAGGAGGAGGAGGAGGAGGGGATAGGGGGAGGGGAGGGGAGGAGGAGGTGGAGGAGGAGGAGAGGAGGAGGAGGAGGAGGAGGAGGAGGAGGAGGAGGAGGTGGAGGAGGAGGAGGAGGAGGAGGAGGAGGAGGAGGAGGAGGAGAGAAGCGCCCTCGTACTGGCGGACCGGCTTTTTTGGTCCGCGGCTCGTGCGTGTGGCTGCACGGCGGCCGCGTGCGCGCGGCTGGCCGTTTTTTTGGCCTTGGAGTGCTCGCGTGTGTAAGCACCCTAAGACGGCCCTCGGATGCCGCAGGCAAGCCGTGTCTTGATCCTGCTCTGGATGTAAGGTTTGCAGGGGCTCGGCATCGTTCGGACGTGTGCATTTTTCCCTCGGCGAGGACCATCGAGGAGCATCCTTGATCACTTGGCGAGACAGCCACGCACGATACCGAAAAAACGCACACAGGAAGTGGACGTCCGAGCGATGGCCAGGTTCTGGCTGTGCGGGCTTGCACGGGAGTCCCGGCCCCACTCACCGGGGCTGGCCAACACTCCGAGTCGCCAGCAGATGGCCCGGGGGCCCCGTGAAGGCCCCCTGATGCCGCAACTGGAGGACAACCTCCGTCTTGACCCTGTTCTGGATGTGGGAGTCACCACCTACCAGACCACCCCAACCCAACCCGAAGGCCTCAATTTGCCCTCCATTTCCAGTGGGGGGGGTCGGGGAACGTCGAAAAAACACATGGAACCCGTACCCCCCCCAACCCGAAATTCGGGTCAAATTCGGGTCTTCGGGTTGGGTTGGGGTGGTTTGGTAGGTAGTCAGGGAAGTCTTCGTACGCGGGTCAAAGATCCGCGCTCAGACCTCTCCAGAACCTGCACCAATAACAGACGATCATAGGATGTATGCATCAACAGTGTAGCATTCACCAGGAGCACGCACCAATCGCGTGCGTCAAGTCAGTACAAACACATCAACAGCTAACACACGCCATGCCATTCGCCCA